ACTCACTCCACTGGGTTTTGTGTTTTTTGTTTTCTTTCAGTGAACATTTAGGATTTATCTTAGAGTTCTGGAAGAGCTTTTTAGGAAACCCCACCCTATCCTCCATATTTTGGAGTGGATGAAGGCAGGTGGCCCTGGCACTTTGGAGTATTGTCTGCTGAAGAAGGACACAGCTCTGCTCACCCAAATACACCCTATTCTCACGTTATTTTCTAGGGAATGTGTTGGCTTCAACTAGCGCTATTCTACTTCTGGTACTTTTTCTTACTGTGATGGAATGAGTTACTGGCTTTGTGTCCTTGGTGTTTGTGTCCAGGTTATTTTTTTCATTACACTTTGTAAGTATGTCTTGTTTATTCAATGTGCCTGTGTTTCTCATTTAAGTTTTCTCAGTTCTGATTCACCCTTTGGCCACAGCTGTGCCAGAGTGCGGCGTGTAGGGCAGCTGGGCACTGGGACAGCAGCGGTGAAATTTCTCAGAAAGCCCCATGAGAAGAGCTTTTCTCGGAGTGTGAGGGGAGAACACTGACAAGGGAGGGATGATGAACAGCGATTTTCCTTTATGACAGGATTTTTATTTGAAGAATCATTAGGAAAGTCCAGCCTGATCCCTGGTCATCATGTGCCAAGTGACAGCTCAGGCATTGCGTACAAGGGGCAGAGAGACAGAAAGTCTGGGGAAGAAATTTTGTTGTGATTTTTGAAAGAGCAAGTGGTGTTTAAGAGAATGGTGCAATATTTTCAGCCCAACAGGCAGAAAGAAGTAGGGCTGAGATAATATGCATGATGGCCATTGTATGTATGGGCAATGAAGGTAAGTATGGACTCTCACAGCAAAATGAAGCCCACTGTTTCCAGTGACAGTCTTGCTAGCAAAGTTCCTTCTTTCGCAGAAGCTATACAGTGTGCTGTGTGCTGGCTTAATGTGCACAGGTTTTTATGAAGCTTGTATCTAGGTGAACAAATGAAGTCTGTGATCTGGCATAGAAGAGCAGCCCAATGCATGCTCCATTAGCAAGCTGTGAAATTTATGGACATGTAAAAAAAAAAAAAATTCTGGACTGAGACAGAGACAGCAGGGACATCAGGGAATATGCAACACTGCCTACAGTGCAGGCCAGTACCTGTATACTGAACTTTGCCCCAAAGCAAAAATGTCCTGTTTTTCTAAATACTACATGCAAGCCTGTTAATCCACCAGAGTCTGCATCGTGGTGCAGTGATAGCCATTTTCAGTTCACATAACTGACCTCCACTGAGCAAACGGAAGTTTCGTATGTGACCAACATCTCAGACTTTTGCAAAGTTCAAGAGATCACGCGGAGCAAAGCTGTGGATTACACTTGTGATGCGAGCTTGTGACAGCAGATCTGAATTTCTCCACCTCTAAGTGCTTTCCAAACAGCTCGTCGAGGTTGGGTTGTCCGGATCTCACAGGATGATGGCTACTTTCTTGAACACTAGGATGGCAGTTTGGAGAGATTGTAGGTAAATTAACGCCGGGTTCTTTGCATAGTTTGTTGAAGATGCCCCATTACATGTGGATGTTCTACACTTCCTATTGATTGTACTAGTGTAGAGGAAAAAGAGGTGTTATGGCCTTTCTTCTCCAAAAATGGCATTTCTCCGTGCTAGAGACTGCAAAGTTGAGGTTATGACCCTGTCTGCCATGAGGGATTGTCTGCAGCCACCACCAGTGATAAAAACCTGCTCAAGCTTCTGGCCCATGTTGTACATAACCTCTTGTAGCATGTAGTATGCTGGGTGCTAAGTGGTTGGTCAGCTTGGTCAAAGTTTATGGTCCAAGAAAGTGTTGCTGTGGGAAGGTGCAGAAGCCAAAGACACCTGGTTTGGCCCTTGCTAAATGTGCAAGCATAAAATTAATGTTGTGTTGGCAAGTGAGGCCCAGCAGTGTGGATTCAATTTGGCATGAGTGACTTGGTTTGACAAATTCAAGACCAAACTCAGTCCTTACTATCAAACATTATAAAGATACAGTCTAAAAATCACCTGCTTCCTTAGAGGTTCCTGGCAGTAATAAGCTCCTCTCTTCAAGCGCTCCTTCCATTTGGTGTAGAACTGGGGATTTTAGATCATCACTGGCAGTGATAATCATAGTAGTGACTTTTGGGGACCTACCTAATAATTTTAACTTCTCAGTGTGCAATTGCCCTGGACAGTGGTTTTTTGCAGACATTTTTTTTATTTTTATTCTTCATAGCAGCCTTGTATCTTGAAGATTATGGGCTATGTTGTAAAATGTGTGTTACTGTAGCTGAATAGGTGCCCAGGGCACATAATAATTCAATAAAGCAAGCTAGAATTAGAAGTGAAATATAAAAATGTATTTCCTCTGTGAAGTAGAGAAAGAAGTTGCATTTCTTAATGTCTGGTACAGAGAAGCGTCAATCCTTTCTTGCCTTTCCCCTCGTAGCCCTTGTATAAGCAAACAACGGAGAGGTCGTTCTAGCAATGTGGTGAATAGTTTGATGGCGTAGCTCTTTCTCAGTAATGTGCGTTGCGGAATAAAGGACACTGGCCTAAATATTGCAGGGTAGCTCACAAGGGTTCATCTCATACAAGTTATGTCAAGTTAAATGAAATCCCCAGGACATGGGGGCAATGGTGTGCTTTCAGAAGCTTTGAACTGCACTCTAACCCAGACAAACTCAGTTTATAATAACTCCAGAAGCATGTATTGAATATCTTGCTGTGTTCCAGTGTCATGGGTCAAAAATACAACTGAGTGCTAATTATGCTGTTTAACGCCACCATTTCGAAAGTCTATTTCTAACCTTTTTTATTGGTTTCACATTTTCTTATTCTATTAGCAGCCCATTTTCTGCTCCCTTCCCTCCCTATTTGACATTTCAGAATGAATAACGAAGCAGTTTTTTAAGTGCATATGTGTTTCCTCAAGGAAATCAGGGCTTGAGCACACACATTGGTCTTTGCATGCATGCCGATGAAGCATGCATAAAAATATGTCTGCCTTTGTGGGCCTACCTGACAAAGTCTGACCTTTCATGCTTTGAACTCTCGCTCCAAAATGCAGATGCATAATTCAAGAGGACTGAAGCAGAACAGTGTTGAGCATAACGTCTGGGTACATGGTTCCCATAACAAACTACACAGACTTGAATTACATTTCTAAACTGTACGTGCACCAGGAGATGTGGGTTCCTCAGCAGGAGGACAAGGAAAATCAGTGCACCCAGTGGCCAGGGCAGTCTGCACTGGCCAGCAGACAAGCACTGAGGACTGTGTTCTTTCTGGAGAACTTCCCAGCTAAAGCAGGAACATGTACCTTCATGTGAATTTCAGATATGAAGGTGAAACAGGTGAGAAAAAACACCTTTGTGGGTCTCATCAGACTATATGCACGAGAGAAGCACCGTAATGAATCACCTCTCCAAAGTAAGCCATTCTGGATATGTGCCAAAGTGGAGCCTGTAGAAAAGTGTGTCAGGTTCAGGAACTGACAGGTGAGATGGTAGCTAAGCAAATGTTTTAGGGATAAGCAGGCTTGAATATTGCTTAGGTCTAATTAAGTCTAATATGCCTCATTTGTTTCTTTCTGCCCCAGATGCTGGTAATACACTCAAGGGTGTTATGGTGCCAACCAGAGTATTGAATATAACTAAATTAATTTATTAAGAATAAAAACAAATGTTCAACGGTAAAGGTGATAGCAATCAAGTCATTTTGTGTCTCATTATATTGTGAAGAAGCACAGCCCATCGTGTCTCAGAAGAATGATGTTTAGGAGTCCAAATGTGTATACTTCTGCTTATGTGCATATTTGTTTTCCCTTCCTACATAGACATAGCTAAGGCTGATACATGAAAAGAAATGCATACAAACTGGTAACCTGTGACTGCTGGTGTACAGATTTTTTCTTTTACTCTTCTGAGCATTTGTCCCATTTGGAAGTGTTGTGGGAAATATTCTTCACATTGTTTTACAGCCCTTGGTAGCTGAAGAAAATGAGACTTTATTGCTGTAGAAAAAAACTCTACTCTGCCACAATTTTTTAGCTGTGTGCATGCATTTAGATGTTGATATGCCTCGATTATAGCACAGATTTACTGACAGCTATAGCTTCTGGGAGAAGTCTTGCTCCTCCTCAATTTACCAGCTAAATTTGCCTGCTTCCACGGAACCAGGAATTCAACCAGTCATCGCTGCCAACTCTGAAGGATATCACCAAAGTGCTGTTGGAAATGATGCAGAATTATTTTGAGAGGATAGCTTAGAAAGATATTTTCTTAAATACCATATTGCAAAATTGTATGAATTAGCCAAATGTGTCTTCGGGAATTCTCATAGCATTCATATGAAGGCTTTATTACTTTTGTAATTCACTCTTCACTGACTTCTCAGAAATGCTGTGAGATGCGTTGAAAACTTGTACAAGGGACATCTTAGGAGATGCAAATCAAAATCTTTCTACAACTCCCAGAATCTGTTAAAGATTAATTTAGTGCAATGAAAATTTCTTTCATAAAGACATGTTTCTATATAAAAACTAGACTTCACAGTTAGTGTTCTATAGCTCCTGCAGCTGAGAAAAGACTTTTCAAAGGTTCTAATGTCCTTGGTGCCTCAGAAAATGTTCTCTCAAATTGCTCATGTGAATTCAGTGTAGATCATAGAGTCCTTGGTACACTATTATAGTTTGCTTCTTTCTTATTTTTCTTAATTGATTTGCATCTCCAGTGAAAAATATGGAAAGAAGAACAAGAGCAATACACTCCAGCCTAATTTTGCGACATGCTTAGTGGTAGCTACTAAATTTCTCTTTACTAAGGATACAGATGACTGTTTTTCTATTTTGAGTTAAATGATTTGTTTGTACACTTAATTTTCTTCAATCTTTTTTTATCAGTGGAAAAGTACTGATAAAGCGCTAGCTGACCATTAGAAGACAGATAAAATAGAATGATGCATCTTCATTACTATCATATTCTCTCTAAACTATTGTTTTTTTCCCCTTGCAGGACAGTTCTGTTTACTCTGACCTCTGTAGTTGTGCTTGTCATCACTACTGACTGGATCAGCTGGGACAAGCTGAATCGTGGATTTCTGCCAAGTGACGAGGTCTCGAGAGCCTTCTTGGCTTCTTTCATCTTGGTGTTTGACCTTCTCATTGTCATGCAGGTACACTCTCCTGATGTTTCATTCAAGCTGCTGAGGCTGCTTAGTCACTCTATTTCCACTAGAGCAAATGTTGTTTAGCTGAAACTACATAAAGGTAAATAAATGTTTACTTTGCAGTTGCTATTAGTAGGGGCATTTTATAACACCATTCTCAGTGACTTTGCAGAAAAACCCTGACCTTTTATTGTTAAAACATTGCTGATTTTTCTTCTTAGACTGCCAGGTAAGAACTCTGTGACTATCCGAATTGGAAGGTGTTTTCTGCAAAATGACATCAGAAAAAGAAGCAGAAGCTAGCTGACTTTATAGGAGAATGAGAGAAATTTAACCAAACAAGAAAGAAATTCTTCCATATTTCAAGCATTTACAATATTGGGTATACATACATTAAATTAGTATTTGCTAGTAAGTTTCCACTTTCCACTTTCACATGAACATTTCTGTATTTTAATGACAAGTCCTTGTACTGTAATGTCTTCTGCCACTAAAGGTTAACTGGGGAGATGATTCCCTGTAGTTTGCCCAGTGTCTGCTCCATTGAATCTAGCTGTTAAGAAAGGAATCTGGGTCACAAGTATGTGGCCAAAAACCTCTTTCATGTGATGCTGTGCTCTACCTTTACATTTGTCTGTGGTTTGAGCCTTGCGTGAATAACTCGCCCAATGCTCTGTGAAGAATTAAGTCATTTGGGCCAGTGTGACTTTTGCTATTAGTCCTAGACATGTTAGACTGTTGAACTGAAGTTTAGCAAAGAATTTGAGAAGAACTGATGGGTCCTTTCTCTCCTATATATTACTAACTAACTCTGCTAGCAAAGACCATTTCTGAGACACTTAGTTCTCTTTAATGAGATCTCTATTGCTTGAGTAATTATCATAGAGGTGACACTGTCATGGCACTCAGAATTTATCACTGCTGTACTAGGACATTAAAGCTGCATAAAGTCCTATAGTTCAGTTTTATTTTCCAATGTCCACCACTGTTCAATGCTGACAGCGGTTCATGGTTAGAACAAGGAGGATAAGAAAGGGAATATTGTTTTTCTAGTAACATTTTTGGTGCTTTCTTTTCTCTCCCATTGCATTTTACATTTTGTTTGCTGTTTCAAAAAGATTCAAAAGAATGTATAATAAATGATTGTACTTCACAGAGCTGTACTGAAAGCATGAATGAAAATACACGCTGTATCAAGCTACACTGAATTTGATATTGTATGCAGGGTAGAGAAGCCTTCATAGCAAATAATTATTAAATCATCCTTTTGACTTTGAAAAATGAAGTTCCAGTACTTTGACCTTGGAGCTGCTGAATGTAGGGAAGAATATTATTTGAAACAGCCTGTCCTGAATACTATTTCATATTTTTACAACACAAAGCAAGAAGCTGTTTCTAATTACATTTTTGAATGCTGCTTGTGTGATTGAGTTATTTATTTATTTAAAGTTATTTGGACTGTGCAACTAAGCTGACATGTTTTATTTACAATGTCATTCTGGCGTCATTGCATTGCTACTGCAATAAAGTCAAGTTGAGAGAGCAAGGTATTAAATCACAAGTGAAGACCATCAGGATCATGATCCTTTGACTGAATGCTTTAGAACTACTTGTTTCTAGAAATTCTTTTTTAGTGTTGTCTGTTTCACAGATTTTATTTCTAACTTAACAAGCACTAGCAGCAAACTGGTAAAATCAGAAAAAAAATTTTAAAAATGCATAGTTTCAAGCAATTTCTGTTTGAGGCTGATGCCAAGAGCACAGATGAATTCTTATCTGATTTTTGAGTACAGGCATTTTCTGTCCCTCTGAATGGTAGCATGAATTCTGTGCTTAGCAACAACAGAAAACCAACTGAGTTTGGAAACTCATTCTTAATGCTGTGAAAAATAATCCCATAATTGTAAATAGGGCAGCTTTGCCTTCTTGGTATTATTATAATGTAATAGTTATAAATGCCCTGTGTAGAGCATCAGAAAGAAATAAAGGACTGAGTGCTGCCTGCCCTGAAGATCTACCTTTTTTCAATTAGACATAATCCAGGCAGATATGTGAAGAGGGGAACACAGAGAGCTGAACCTTAAACAAACAGTTGTGCATGAGTGATGCTAAAGGGTACGTGCACTTTTTAGCTTTGGTTTCCATCCTGCAGCAAACCTCAGCTGCCTCCCAGCCCCACTTCTTCTTCTGGTGTGCAAAGGCTCCTCCAGTCTGAGTGTTCGCCAGATATGCAGGGGAGAAAAGCACAGATGAGAGGCAGAGTAGAAGGCAGAGACTTGTGCCTGAAATGTAAATGTGGAAGTTATGACTGTAAAAATATTAAGACAATCTGAGAAAACAGATCATGGAGAAGGCTGCAGGACTACAGTAAGACCTCATGGATAGTGTGGTTGGCTTCTGGCTCAGGCAGTGTTCCTACATCTTCTGCCAACCTCACTGTGATGCATCACCACATCCACCCTCCTTGGAATGAAGGGGCCCGGAGTGCCTGTTTTAGGTGGCTGCTGTGTACACATCTCCACTTGATTTTAATCACTGTGTGTTTACTGTCAATGGAGAAATCGAGGTACAGTTGGGGTGCTTTTAAACATCTACAGTAGGATGAGATGCTGCAGGCCCTAGAGGTGCGTGTTTCTCTCCACGGAGAATAAACAGACCCAGTATGACAAGCTGAGAGGAACCGTCCCCTAAGCCAGACTCAAAAGAAACGTAATGAGGGTGGCATGGCTTGAGTCCAGAGCTGCAAGGATCCTGCTTACCTATTTCCACAGCTGGTCAAGGGGCCAAAGTAGCATTTTTCTGCTAGTGTTTTGTCAAAGAGATGTTCTTAGAGCATGGCTGACTCTTGCAGGCAGGGTGATCTTCACTTCTCCAACTGCTGCCTGGCCGCGGTTTGCAAGGAATTTAAGTCTCACTGGGTCTAGCACAGCGTATCAGTGATGATACTCATTTCAGGTGGTTTGAAAGGCAACACAAGAGGTCTCTATTCCAATCCTGGTTGTCAGGACATTTTATCCAATGCAAATGCAAACAGTGATTTTCTGAAATACAGAGCTTGCATGTTTTCTCACTGAAAAACAACAAATCAAATTCAGTCCAATACAGGTGATCATTAATGCATTTTAAAGGACATGTGCTTGCTTATAGTAAGAAAGTAAAAGTTCTACAGGTTTGTTAATTTTTCCACAGTATGGAAGTGATGAAGTTAGTCACTTTCGTAATGTGTTTAATTATGCCTGCCCTGATAATTGGGATGGCAAGATGCTAACATATGTGTATTTCTGGCACTTGTAGCACTCACTGCTGTACATGGGCATCATTATATTTCATTATATTTTTAGCCTTAGTTTCAAACTGAGTGCAAGACCACACATAGTAAAGCTGGATATCTAGTAGTGCTATTAGCATGTAATATAACTTTTTACTATTTTAATGAAAAAGTCACATATTTAGTTCTCTTTCTCAAAGATGTAATGGAAAAGCTGTTAATTAAAGGACTAAATACGAAAAATGCAACTATAATCCCACATTTCAAATACCGCTATTTGAGCAAGTAGATACTAACTCATGCTTTAGCCTGTATACTGCTTTGTTTTGGTTTGGTTTTTTTTGTGTCATGTGCTTAGTGACTTTCACAGAATCACAGAATCACAGAATAGTAGGGGTTGGAAGGGACCTCTGTGGGTCATCTAGTCCAACCCCCCTGCCAAAGCAGGGTCACCTACAGCAGGCCGCACAGGACCCCGTCCAGGCGGGTCTTGAATATCTCCAGAGAAGGAGACTCCACAACCTCCCTGGGCAGCCTGTTCCAGTGCTCCGTCACCCTCAGAGGGAAGAAGTTCTTCCTCATGTTCAGACGGAACTTCCTGTGCTTCAGTTTGTGCCCATTGCCCCTTGTCCTGTCACTGGGCACCACTGAAAAGAGCTTGTCCCCATCCTCCTGACACCCACCCTAATGGGTAGGAACCTGTGATGGCTGGGTTATTAAACCTTGTGTGTCCAGGGGAGATGAATTGTGTAATCTCTTTAGAGTCTTTTGTGAGCATTTACAGGTTTCTCCAGACTTCTGAAAGACCATGGAGTATTTCAGCATCACTGTGGAGTTACACGCTCTAGCTGCCTTGTTGAGCACTTTGCAAGTCCCACAGTGTAAATTCTTGCAACTCTTATGACTTACTGCAACTTTTTATCTGACAGTACAATCAGATGCAATGTCTGAGTGATTTAAAAGCTACCTGAAAGTACTATTTGATTCCAAAAGGAGAATTTATTCTTCAATAAAGTGAAGAAATTCTGTAGCGGCTGAGTGGAATAAACAGAAGCCAGGCAGTGCTTAAGTCTAAGATTCTTTAAGAAAGCTCTTGTATGTGAATATTTAACCAAAATAGCAAAATAATCCCATTAATACCAAACGGGAATTCTCTTGTAAATAAAGAGAACAGAATTTTGTCCTTTTGGGTAACTTGGAAGAAAATGAAGGTCAAAGAGAGTTAGATAATTAACAACGTTCCTTATGACTAGTGCTAGATCTCTGCTGAAGTAGGTATTAGGATATCAGCAGACAGATTTTTTTTTAATAGTAACCATTTTTCAAATGTATTTTTCATAATATTTTTGTCTGTAAATTACTTGAACATTTAACTGTGGAGCACTCCTTGCTACTGCAGTTGAAAATCAACATATTTAATGAGTGGCCTGTCACTTCCTATTTTGTTTCATTTTCTGGAGAATGCCTGGTCTTCTGTCTTTTGTAGAGTTTTAATAAGGGAATTAGAAGGTTAACAGATTGAAGAAAATCTGTATTTAGGCACTCCAGTGTTTTTGCTTCTAGTTCTTCGTAATTCCCTGAAAAAAGTAGTTAATTTATCTACTTTGTAATGTGAATAATGTTTTATATATGTCATTGTTAAACAGTAACACAGAAACGTTATCAGCAAAAGGGAACAGACTCTGGTCTTGTTGACAAATACATAAAGCGGGGACATTTCCCTTTCTTTTTAGTTTTG